TGCCGAGCCGGGCAGCCGCATGTCGCGATATGGTGTGTCACAGCGGGCCCGACCGCCCCGCACCTCCCCATACCGCCCCGTATGTCCCCATACCGCTCCATACCGCCACATACCGCCCCGTATGTCCCCATACCTCCCCATACCTCCCCATACCGCCCCATACCGCCCCATACTGCCCTGTATGTCCCCATAGTGCCCCATACCATCCTACACTGCCCCATGCTATCCCATACTGTCCTATACCACCCAACACCACCCCATACATACCCCATTGCACCATACCTCCCTATACTGCCCCATACCATCCCATACTGTCCAACACTGTCCCATACCTCCCCATACCACCCCATACCACCCCATACTGTCCTATACCACCCCATACCACCCCATACTGTGCCATACCATCCCATGTCTCCCCATACCATCCTATACCACCCCCTGCCTCCCCATACCGCCCCATGCCATCCTATGCCACTCCTTACTATCCCATACTGTCCTATACCTCCCCATACAGCCCCATACCATCCTATACTGCCCCATGCTGTCCTACACCACTCAACACTGCCCTATACCATCCCATCACATCCCATATTGCACCATACCTCCCCATAATATGTCCCCATACCTCCCCATACCTCCCCATACCGCCCCATACCGCCCCATACTGCCCTGTATGTCCCCATAGTGCCCCATACCATCCTACACTGCCCCATGCTATCCCATACTGTCCTATACCACCCAACACCACCCCATACATACCCCATTGCACCATACCTCCCTATACTGCCCCATACCATCCCATACTGTCCAACACTGTCCCATACCTCCCCATACCACCCCATACCACCCCATACTGTCCTATACCACCCCATACCACCCCATACTGTGCCATACCATCCCATGTCTCCCCATACCATCCTATACCACCCCCTGCCTCCCCATACCGCCCCATGCCATCCTATGCCACTCCTTACTATCCCATACTGTCCTATACCTCCCCATACAGCCCCATACCATCCTATACTGCCCCATGCTGTCCTACACCACTCAACACTGCCCTATACCATCCCATCACATCCCATATTGCACCATACCTCCCCATACCGCCCCATACTGTGCCATACCATCCCATATCTCCCCATATCTACCTCCCCATATCTCCCCATACCACCCCATACCATCCTATACTGCCCCATACTATCCCATACTGTCCTATACCACCCAACACCGCCCCATACCATCCCATATTGCACCATACCTCCCCATACCGCCCCATATTGCCCCATACCATCCCACACCACCCCATACTGTGCCATACCATCCCATATCTCCCCATATCTACCTCCCCATATCTCCCCATACCACCCCATACCATCCTATACTGCCCCATACTATCCCATACTGTCCTATACCACCCAACACCGCCCCATACCATCCCATATTGCACCATACCTCCCCATACCGCCCCATATTGCCCCATACCATCCCACACCACCCCATACTGTGCCATACCATCCCATGTCTCCCCATACCATCCTATACCACCTCATACCATCCCATACTGCCCTATACCACCCCATGCCATCCTATGCCACTCCTTACTATCCCATACTGTCCTATACCTCCCCATACCATCCTATACTGCCCCATGCTGTCCTACACCACTCAACACTGCCCTATACCATCCCATCACATCCCATATTGCACCATACCTCCGCATACCATCCCATACTGACCTGTATCACCCCATACCATCCTATACCACTCCATACTGCCCCATACCATACCATGCCATACCATGCCATACCATGCCATACCGTCCTATACTGCCCCATACCGTCCTACACCATCCCATACCATCCTATATTGTGCCATACCACCCCACACCATCCCATCTCATTCCATACCACCCCATACCATCCTATACCATCCCATACCACCCTATACTGTCCTACACTGCCCAATACCGTCCCAGTCCTACACCATCCCATACCATCCTATATTGTGCCATACCACCCCACACCATCCCATCTCATTCCATACCACCCCATACCATCCTATACCATCCCATACCACCCTATACTGTCCTACACTGCCCAATACCGTCCCATATCATGCCATACCGCCCCATACCATCCCATATTGCATGCTACCACACCATACCACCCTATGCCGCCCCATATTGTCCCCTCCCACACTAGATCATCCCATACCAAAGTGTACTGTGCCATACTGCACCATATTGTCCCATACCATGCCATACTGTGCCATACTGTGCCCTAACTTCCTATATACCCCATACCACCCCATACCATCCCATACTGAACCATAGCGTCCCGTACCATCCCATGCTGCCATACTGCACCATACTGTCCCACCCTGTGCCATATCATGCCATGCCATACCATCCCATATTGTGCCATACTGTGCTGTACCATGCCATACTGTACCATCCCACCTCATACCATACCATACCACCCTTTATTGTGCCACACCTTGCCATATCATGCCATACAGTGCCATGCTGCCCCATACCATCCCATACTCTCCTACCCTGTGCCATATCATGCCATACCATGCCATACTGTGCCATACCATCCCATATTGTGCCATACTGTACCATCCCACCCTTTATTGTGCCACACCTTGCCATATCATGGGATGGTATGGGGCAGCATGGCACCGTATGGCATGATATGGCAAGGTGTGGCACAATGAAGTGTGGGATGGTACGGTATGGGGTGGGATGGTACCGTATGGCATGGTACAGCCCAGTATGGCACGATATGGGATGGTATGGTGTGGCATGGGACGGTATGGCATGGCATGATATGGCACAGGGTGGGACAGTATGGTGCAGTATGGCAGCATGGGATGGTACGGGACGCTATGGTTCAGTATGGGGTGGTATGGGGTATATAGAACGTTAGGGCACAGTATGGGACAATATGGTGCAGTATAGCACAGTACACTTTGGTGTGGGATGGGACAATATGGGGCGGTATGGCACAGTACACTTTGGTATGGGATGATCTAGTGTGGGATGGGACAATATGGGGCGGTATGGGACGGTATGGTATGGAACAGTATGGGATGGTATGGTGCAGTATCATGCAATATGGGATGGTATGGGGCGGTATGGCATGATATGGGACGGTATTGGGCAGTGTAGGACAGTATGGGGTGGTATGGGGTGGTATGGAATGAGATGGGATGGTGTGGGGTGGTATGGCACAATATAGGGTGGTATGGGGCAGTATAGGACGGTATGGCATGGTATGGCATGGTATGGCATGGTATGGTATGGGGCAGTATGGAGTGGTATAGGATGGTATGGGGTGGTATAGGACAGTATGGGATGGTGCTCCCCCAACCCCATCCCTCCCTTCTCCTCCCCCCCAAACCGCTGTGTCTCTGCTGGGGGCGGGGGGGGAGCAGGGAGGGGACCCCTGCCCAAGCCAAGGGATGGGGAAACTGAGGCAGAGAGCTGGCTGCTCTCCTCCCCCCCTGGAGAGGTGCCATGAGGACCCCAGGCTGAGCTGCAAGGCTGGTCAACCCCCCCACCTCCACCCCCCCTGGCGTGTCCGGCAGGGAAGGGGTGCAGGGAAGTGGCAGGACTAAGGAAATGGGAGAGACCTGGCCGGACTCCCGCTCTCCTCCTCCTGCAGCCACACCTCCTCCCCGAGCCCTCTTAACTCGCTCCAGCCCAGCCGTGGGGCCACCATTCCCGTCCCCTCCATCCCTCTCCCCACGCTCAACCCCTCTCCAGCCCACCCGTGGGGCCACCATTCCCGTCCCCTCCATCCCTCTCCCCACGCTCAGGGGCGACCATTCCCATCCCCTCCATCCCTCTCCCCACGCTCAACCCCCCTCCAGCCCAGCCGTGGGGCCACCATTCCTGTCCCCATCCCTCTCCCCACGCTCAAACCTCTCCAGCCCATCCGTGGGGCCACCATTCCTGTCCCCTCCATCCCTCTCCCCACACTCAACCCCCCTCCAGCCCAGCTGTGGGGCCACCAACCTGTCCCCTCCATCCCTCTCCAGATGATGCTCCAGCTGCTGCTGCTCTGCGGAGCCCTAGGATGTGGGGCAGACCAGGCGGGTAAGGCGAGGACACGGTGGTGGTGGTGGGGTGGGAGAGCCTTGGGGTTGGTGTTTTGGGTGCTGGAGGGGAGACACCCACGGCTTCGGGGAAGGGGACGGGGCAGTGGGGTGATGTCCAGTGTCTCTCGCAGCCCCCCTCACCTTCACCATGCTGCAACGCACCCGCGTCTCCAAAGGCAACTCCATCTTCTGGGGGAACGCCAGCCTGGACGGGAGGCTCAGCCACCTCCTGGAGGGGGGTAACGTCACCCAGGTGCTGCCCCTGGAGCCCCCCGAGGCCTGGGCCAGGCGCCAGCAGGTTGTCACCAACTACCTCTCCTACTTCGGCGGGCTGGTGAGGCTCTTCAGCCAGGAGAGACCCATCAACTGTGAGTGGTACCCCCGGGGGGGGGGGACAGGTCCCACTGGGGAAGGGGAGCCCCCCTGCTCTGCCCGGGCACGGGGACACCTCGCTGGGGACGGTGGGGCAAAGGGATGGGGGCACAGCCGTGTGCCAAACCTCACGTGGGGTGAAATGGAGCCCTTCTGCCCAGCTGGGAATTTCTTACTGGGAATTTCTTACCGGGAATTTCTTATCGGGAGCCGACCCTGGGAACAGGGTGATGCTCCACCTCCTGCTGCCCCTCGGGAAATGGGCTGGGGGCTGCAGCCCGGGGAGACAGTGAGGTGTAGGGACCCCCTCTGCACCCCCTGCCTGCACCCCCTGCCTGCAACCCCCCTGCATCCCCCCTGCATCCCTGGCTGCACCCTCTGCTTGCATCTGGCCAGCATCCCCCCTGCACC